CCGTCGCGTACGAGAGTTTGTGATAATAACCCCAACTATCAAACGCGTGGTCCAAACACCTGTCCATTTGCTTCTGGTTTTGTTGGTAGCATTGAGTGAGCGGTTGGGGAACGGACTCAGACTTCCATACTATGACTCGTTTGTGGGCGTCTTGAGAGTCGGCCGACTCGGAGGCCACACATGGATGAGACTCAAGACATATATACACCAAAACACATAGATTTATTAAATTCATTATTATTTGTGGACATTTAATAAACACTTAAATGCTGTGTATTTTAATACTATTATCTCATATCCAAAGCAACCGCTGATAGAAACAGTCATTTCCTGTATTTGCTTTTTATAGACTCCTTAATAATGATTATATAAAATCCGAACTAAAGTCTTATTTTCCGAAAATCTAATAAATCTCTACATTTTTATCGTTAACTCATTTTTAAGCTTAAAGAATAGGTTTAAGAAAAATGTTTTGTAAATATTTTGGAATTTGATAACTCTCTGTCAATATTGTATGCTTTCTCACATTAACTTGATTTTAAATTACCGGTAGTTATTTAGTGATCATAACTTATACATCATGTCAGACATCATCTCATACATCTGTGTCCCAATTTTGTGTACTACCCTTAGGTTTTCAGACTGAATTTAAGTCACTTAAACAAGCTTACAAACCTAAGGGGTGGTCAAGGATATGCGAGACAGTGTCTAATTGTAATTAAAATTAAGTCTACAAATTTCTGTCTCTTCAAAGATCTTTAAGCTATTCATTTGTATTGCAATCAAAAATTACTGAGTCATGAGACTTAAGCTTTAAGTAAAACGTTAATTTTAAGACCGATATTTGATTAGTATTGTGCTTTGCACACCAATTCTGTCTACTTTAACATTATAATTAAAAACTTTTTTATTCAACTTAACGGTCAGTATTACAGTTAATAAGAGAACTTGTGCTCAAATACTACAGATTTAGTTATATTTAACTTGTTAATCATGAAAACTCAATTCTCAACGTATTGTATAATAACTCTTTATGATGCAAATCCTTTCAAACATACTGTACGTTATATGCAAAGTATATATCATTTAACACTCGCTAACACTTGAAGTTTAATTTTTTACACCAAATTTAATTTGCTTTTCATACGAGAGACCATTGAGTTGGATGTGAAGACTACTCGACAGCCGTATGCATATGTCAGCCCCTCATACACCCTATCAATCAGTTATACCCTCAACCGTTTGCTTCGTATATAATAAGTACTTTTATCACTATTTTATTTTAATTCATTAAAAAGTAAATTCAATTTTACTTTTTTTTATTCAATACAAAAAAGTTTGTTAGCAAAATGATTTTTGATTGTCAATAACATGAAAGTTCTTATACCATGAGATCACTTATAATGTGAACAACACATGGATTATGAAATGATTGAAAAATAGAGTGTATTTTCTGTAAAAATATGGGTTTTCGTGACATTTTTAGCGATGAATAGAATTCTTAATAATTATACATAACTTAATGCATGTATTTGTCGGACAATGTATTGGATTTGAGAGCACTTTTGTGCCGTTCTTTAGAGAACTGCAATTCAATAGACAGAGAGAGTCATAGAGAGAGAGAAAGAGTCCATAACTTTGAGAGTGAGATAAAAGTTAGGAAGAAATGCTTTTTAGTTGAATTGATTTGAATAAAATACGAGATATTTGTGTGATTGCGGTCAGTCCGTCGACTCCTAAAAAAGTGCACAGCATTGCAGTCATCGCCAGTGAATGGCTGCGACTATGAATGGGAAGCCATCAGAATGTGGATCAGATCTCGTGAAGAGTGTCTCATAGGGCGACACATTGACAGAGAAAGAGGGGTCAGAAGAGTCAGTGTTGTGTGAGTGTTGGCCCGCATCTACTAACGTCCCATTGAGCCATGAAATTGTTGACTGCTTTTACAAATGAGTTTCAGTTTTGGACTATAGTTTGACTGTACATTGACTGTAGTGTTGACTATAGTTGGCATATATGAGGGGACGCACCCATACATCAGCCAAGAATACGCAAAGAATAGGGTATAGAATAAGTTGCCATTCAATGGACTCCACTCTCTCTATGGTCTTATGGAGTGCCACTGTTTTGTCGCATATTGTCGTCGAGTTGAGAGTCGGCGGTAAGTATAGAGAAGTTAATGCGCCTCCGATTAGTACAACACAATACAACCAAAAACTCCCCTTTGATTGACTCAAAATATTTGTCAGACTTTACCAGAGAGTATGCACGCAAATTGCTCTCTCTCTCTCTCTCTCTCTCTCTCTCTCTCTCTCTGCCTCTGAGCACAGCTTCTGTTCCCGTGCTCTGTATGAGTCCTCAACTACTCTGACCGTCACAACCACTCTATGACTGGCAATGATTTCCAAACCATTCAATACAAATCCAAATATACATCCGATTGTTTGTGCGGACATTTGCGAGCATTTTTTGACGACTGTTTGACAGCACTTTCCAATTGATATGAGAGCAGATAAAAAACTATTGAGAGTAAAACATTAAGTTGATCCCCAATTACGGTCCATTATCTACGGTTTTAATTTTGCTTTTAGTTTTTATACTTTGTGATACTTTGTTATCCATTTGCGATACCGTATACTGTATTGAATTTCATATATAATTTAAATTCCGTGTTATTCTGTATATGAGAGTAACGATTGAGTTATGAGATTAAATAAAGTAGCATGGAGAATTTCATGGCATTTAGTGACTGTCGAGTAAATTAGTTTTTGTCTCAATAGTATAGTAATAAGTTTCAGTAGTTTTACGGTATGTTAAGAAGAGAAATGTTAAGCGATTTCCTGTGACCAACAGATTTACTTATCTTGACTTAGGAGCTGGCAGTGGGCCCGGAGGGGCTCCAGTCATACCTTTTCGAGTGGCTTTCGGTACCTAAGCATTGCATTTAAGTTTCCATTTATGTATTATCTATTGATATTCATCAAACATATTATCGGCATTTTGCTCTTTCATGACTTTCCATATTGCGAGTCAAAGTGTTTCCCACGACTGCACCCATTCATTGAGTGGTCCGTCAAAGTAATTCGTTATTCGGCGAAATCGGTCTATAGTTTGCACGGAGAGAGAGAGAGAGAGAGAGAACGAGAGAGAGAGAGAGAGAGAGAGCTTTGAATGCATTGAGGCGTGATTTTGATGCCCGCCTCAGCCTATTGTCACACCGGTAGCCAATCGGATGCGCTCGTAGAGCTGGCAACCAGTGGAAGGCATAATAAGTCACAGATTTACATATTGATGCATAAGTGGCCATCAAATACATCTAACACTATAATCGCACACTTCTGTCCACAACACCACATCAAACACTACATCACTGTTTGCTTATACTGTATATCAGTGTATCGTATATTGTGTTTCAGTCAACACTACAAGCAATCCATCATCGCTTCGTTCATCAGTCCTCAGTCCCTATCGTTTGGAACATTGCTTTCTATGAGATGATGAACATTAAGACAGAGCCCTCGTCCTCAACCAATGGTCTGTTGTCTTGCTTTCGACACATAATTGCTTTAATTAGTAATTTAGGTATAATTAAGATATATGATATTCATTTGTACATTTAATAGTTAAGTTATATCGTTAAGTAAACTAGATTATAATTTATTGTTGTAGAGATTCTTTAGTTAAGTTTTAAACTTTGAGTCATTGAAACATAATTGTTTATTGCTTTTATTGAGTTTACATTATCTTTTTAATAGATATTTTATATATTTATATTTTTAATATTGCTTGCATTGCTTATCCAGAATATAAAGTTATATTTTTAGTTTTATATTTTACTTTTTTTTATATAAAAATTATGCCTAAATTTAAAAATACAGTACATTTGATTTTAAAGGTGTAGCTTATCTAAAGATATATTATTTCATATTTTGATATTAATACAGTACTAAGTAATTTTATGAAGAATTAATATCGGTTATTTATAAAAAAAAATCATTTATGTATTTTATTAATGATTTTAAAAGTTTTTATTTTCATATTTTAAACTGAAATCTGAGATCCTTTTATATTCATTTTGTATCATCAGTGTACTTAAACATAAAGTCTTTTTTATTCCTTATTTTGTTAAAACCTAAAAGATCTTTATTAAATGTCAATAACATTATAAATTATTGATTTAAATGTTACTTTTAAAAATAATTTTTATTTCCGATGAATGAAATTGTGAATTCATAAAAATTTTGCATAAATGCATTTAATGTGTTACATAATGATTGCAATTGTATTCATCCATAGACTATTAATTTTATAAATACATACAATTGTATATAGTTTTTGAATACAGATGTGTTGAATAAGGTTTGAGTGAAAAAGCAATTAAATGATTAGTCAGGAGATCAGTAAAATAATTGGCTGTTTTATAGACAAATCTGTGGAAAACAATAATTACATTATATTTTTGAGCGGAAATCAAATGGTTTATGATATGGTTTTCAATCGTCAATAGATTTCATGTGAGAATATTTATTGAACCAAAAATTGGAGGTAAAAAGTGATGATATGATGAAAAACGGGTGCATTTAATGCATTTCGTGGGAAAATATAAGCCCTAAAACAACACTGATTTGTCATTTGGGGCACGATTTCGATGATAGGACGGGTGCACCAGATGTTCATTAGCCAGTCGTGTGTAACCGACTCATCAATTAATTCAAACAAAACACTCTCACATATAGTTTATTAAACATTAAAAAAGTATATTTTCGGCGATATGTAAACCAATTTTTTCGTGCATTTTTAGGTCGTATACTACTGGACATACCCTGCAAAGTATGTCGGGATCACTCATCAGGCAAACATTACGGCATCTTTGCCTGCGATGGGTATGTATTGTCTTTTTTTCACTTAATAGACTTTCGTCTGTCAAACGCTTTATAAAGTTTATGAAACATTCATTGAGAGCCAAGTTTGAGAGTTTAGATTCAATCAATGACTCCCAATATTAATGTATCGGGGTATAGTTCAGTAAAAGCTTTTTCTCTGAATTAATGCCTAATGCATTGGCTAACAGTCCCTTTGTTACCAATTAAATACTGAATGCAACCGCAATCGCACACAACGGACAGACACGTGCGCTGCTGTCAAATGCAATCCACACTTTATATCGCGTTTTGACTAAAGACTCAATACGTAAAAGTGATTGAATTGAACGCAATGTCACTAAATATGGTCTCAATTATATCACTTTACAGATGTGCCGGCTTTTTCAAGGTATGCCTCGTTTCGAGTGTTTTAGTGTTTGATTGCGGACTCCGGGGTCCTCTGGAGTCCTAATATGTTTAGACAACTTCTAAAAGACTAGTTAATCAAATATAGCGATCCATTCGTCGGAACCGGCAGTACATATGCAAAGCTCGCGGCTCGAGTGCCAACAAGTGTCCGGTCGATAAGACCCATCGAAACCAGTGCCGGGCCTGTCGTCTCAACAGATGCGTCGACGAAGGCATGAATAAAGACGCCGTTCAGCACGAAAGAGGGCCCAGAAATTCAACCATCAGAAGACAAGTGGCTCTCTATCTCAAGGATACATCAGTGATCGATAGGCTAAGTCTCTCGTCGTCGTTCATGTCATCCCCAATACCTGCGCCTCCATCAGCGCATCTACCCCTACCACCGACCAGTTCAGGGATACGGCCGCCAACCAGTGCTCAGATGTCCTTACCAGCGAGTTTGACTACAGTTCCCCGTTTAATAGATTCAAATTCACTAACTTTAAGGCCGACAGCTGTATGCCATCCGACCCCCAAAGTGAGTGTTTATACCTTACAGAGTATTATACGCATAAAAAATAAGATCACAAAATCTTTTCAATCTTAACATAAAAGCAATGAAAACTTATATACAATTAACAAAACACGACAACAATAGCTGAATATTCTCTCAGATCATCAAAACATATCATTGATATTCATCTCATGTATTGTGTGCTTTACTTTTAAAAGTTAAAAACATCTTTTGTACAAATATTTTCCATTACATAAAAAAGAAAATAATTTTTTATTTCCACATAATTTAATTAAAATATCAAATTTACATAACATTAAGTCAATGAATAGAGTTATAAAAGTCTTACAAAATTGTTTGTCAACTTTATTTAGTATCCCTTTTTGTACGGCAATGGCATCCAAGCTCTAAATGGGTTTCTGTCGTCAAACTGTGAGAAAGTGTGCGAAACGGCTGCCCGACTGCTCTTCTATAACATAAAATGGTTGAAAACCCTACCCGTGTTTGTGTCACTCCCTATGAGAGATCAGGTTTGTTGTTAAGACATAATCCGTCAAAATTGATATTAATGTTAGACAATAGGACACTGTATTGAAGGGTTTGTTAACTTTTCACTGTTTGGACAGTTGCTGCTAATAGAGGAGGGCTGGCGTGAGTTGTTTATCCTGAGTGCCGCACAATTCATGCATCCCATCGATATGGAGCCACTAATAGCTTCGGTGGGCATTAGCTCGACGTCGCTGTTGACGGCCAGCGATGACTCGCCGCTCACTAATGCCTCCAAAACAGACAAATTCGTCACATTTATGACTGAAATCAGATGCTTTCAAGAGATGGTCACCAAATTGAAAGACATGAGAGTCGACACCACTGAATACACTTGCCTTAAAGCCATTGTTCTCTTCAAAACTGGTGAGCGTTTTCGTGGCAATTATAACAATAACTTTTGTATTCAATTCGCATTCATTTGTTTTCCTCAAAGTCTGTGTAAACGGAACTTTTAGCTCCACTTAAGAGTTTTCATATCAAAACTATACTCTATTTTTATGGCTTATTTCCTTAAACACAATGGTCTTTCTCATGTGTCTGTAGTGTTTCCCTCGTCTTCCACCACCGCTTCCACGGCTGTCCACGAGCTGAGAGACAGCGCATCCATATCTGTAGCCCAAGACAGAGCCCAACTGACCCTAAATCAGTACATTTCGAGCGCATATCCGACACAACAGTCATTCCGTTTCGGAAAATTGCTTTTAATGTTACCATCGCTTCGGAGTGTCAGCGGAAACACAATCAAAGACCTATTCTTCAGCCGACAGATTGGAAATATACCGATAGACAAACTTCTTGCAGATATGTATAAATCGCCTGAATTTTGAAAACGTTTTTTTCTGTAACCGTTCCTATTGTCTAATAAATAAATACAAAAAAAATTGATCGAAAAAAGACAAACAAAATGTAATGATAGAAAAGTTATTAAAGTTTGGATAATGTAAATGGCATTTGACTATAGAAAGAGAGAAAAATGTTTGGTTGAATACAATGGCTGCGTAAGCCTTAACGCCATATCCCTATCATTTGTAAACCACTAACATTTGTGTCATTTTCTACGAGTCCTAAAGTGAGTCCCAGTGCGACAAAACGACTGCTGTTTTGATGTGCTTTTGTATTTCGACTCCCAATCAGATTTTTCGTCAAAATTTTTTTCTATCGTTTCAATGCATTGAAAAAAAGTTTTAATAGACTCTCATATTTCGCGAGAGCTCTCAGAGCACAGGCACACAGTATTGGCTTCTCTGGTGAGCGACTGTTCCCCTCTTTGTGATGGTCTCACTGTTGTGGAAATCAGGCCTAAAAGGCAAGAGATTAAACTGAGTTCAGTCACTAAGCCGTCTGTGAGCCCTCCTATGAGCCGTTCGCCAATATGTTGGGTCCACTTCCAGGTGCACTATAGCACTGTAACACCACTTTATTATAGGGAACGGGCATACAGGCACTGGGATCCCTGTATTTTGTATTTGTAGTCCTAATAACAATATATCTGGTATTGAGTTGGAGGGGGAGATGTAATCACAATATACGCATGATTTGCATCAACACAGTCCTAATAGACACGGCCAACAAATATCATCCAGTTATGCATACTGTCCCATACTATCCAATGTCATTCCTATACCCCAAGCATACCATCTAATACGAGGCCTTCCTATTCCAGTGTGTCCTTCCAGATATATAACTGTAATTATGGACTTAAAACGATAAGCATCTCATTTACTTATGATAATAGACTTATTCATACATTAACTCAACATTAGAAACATTAGACTTAAATTTCGTTCGTTAAATGCATGGCCTCTCTGACAGCACTTTCCCTTTTCCACTCTCTGCCAGTACTACCAGTGCTCTACCAGTGATGACATTATCTCAGAATCATTCCTCTCAACTCACTGAACACTGCTTTTTGCTAAATAGTAGTGCTTTTGAATCGCTAAATATGACAACAATTTAGTTGTCGGCGTCTATTTGTCGACCAAATACTATGAAATTTGAAGTGTCGGTCCACTCGTACACCTCAATGAAAATGTGTGTTTCATTCAAATAATTCATAATTGCTGTGAACTTGTTTTGTATATAATTTGACATAAATGAAAGTTATTATGTATTCTTTGAAATAGACTAAAGTTGTATTCAAAATGGATTTAATAAAAGCAAAAAATTGAAACTTACAATCAGTATATTTAAACTAAAAAACGGACTACTATTTAAGTAAAATATTACTTATTATACAAAATATATTAAATAGAAATATGCTAAATTACTTCAAATAAATTATATACTTTTTATATAAGGCATAAAAGCAATGATAAGTGAATGGATTGATCACTAATAGTAATAGCGATTGGTTTGCAACACAAACACAAATATACCCCAAATTGAAAGAAATACAATCATATCTGCTATGAAGACAAGAGTGAGGGCTAATCCCGAGATGAGAGCCATCCGGAAGAGTACTATCGGCAGTGCCATCGATGAGATGACTAATCCGGTGGTCATGAAGTAAATCCAGTCACTCGTCACTGAATTGGGATCTAATTTCTCATCACAACAACAGTTTGGCAGAAGATATATAATGGGAGTCAATGTATAGAAGACAGCGACGGATAATAAGAGCCAACTCTTATCGATGAGACAACTGCTAAGAAGTGCTGCCAAACCCACCACTGAAGTGAAGGCCAAAAGGATTATATTTCTTAATTCATTCATTTCTATACAATTCTGTTGTATTGTAATTCACAAATTATTTAAAAGCTTAAGCACTAGAAATGCAATTACAGTGAATTGAATGAAAGACTATGTTTTAGATGTAATGAGTGCTGAAATATTGAGACAAACTATGAATGAAATGAATGAAATAGGGATTAATGAGACAATCGCTTGTTTGCCACAACTTTTTGTATACAACTGTTATGTTCTAAACGTAATACACGTGCAAATCATTGCAT